CTCCTGAGGATCTGAGGTCTATAACTGGTTTGTATGGGGAGATACGGTCTCTCAAATAGTCTGAACCTAAGCCATGTACTTATAAAATGAGAGTGAAGTACAGTCGGCCCTGAATCTTCATGGGGGTTAGGGCAGAGAATTCTTGAAAAAATGGAAAATAGCTAAGATAGAACACTTTTTAAGGCATTCCCAGGTTCTCTAGTGAGATTCTGTAGAATCATGCTAGAGAACCTAGAAATTCCTAGAGGGAACATTTTTTCAGTTGCGTATAGGACAGCAGCAGAGGCAGTCCATGAATATTAAATCCGCAAATGCTTAATGCACAAATGTGTAGGGATGACTGTTCTGTCTATGTGAAAACAAGTGCCAGAAATGAAGTCTCATACCTAACGTTTAAGTGGGTATGTCCTACACTTAATACAAAATAACAGATATGCCCAATGGTATTATGTTAAGAGTAATCATCTGAGATAACTCCCTAGGAATAATTATGCCCAAAGAAGTAATAGAATTTGAGCAATTTTGAAACTGCCATGCTTTAAACATACAGGAGTGCATCTTGTTTCCCACTGGCAGTATTTCTCACTTGGATCAATTAAATGAATATGCAGATATTTTACCAAAATTATGAATTATTATTCAGCTGCATCAAACAGGAATCGACTGCTGGGGCTTTGAAATGAACAAGATCTGATAACCCATGCTCTTAATGCTAGCCAATACTGTGAAAATAAACACCCAGTAAATTTTATCAAAGGCCTTCTCGACATCTAAAGAAATAATGTCTGGATCATCAGTTCTATTCAAGCTTAAAACAATCAAGCCCATAACCAATTGAATATTATGGCTCCCTGACTGTTTTTGATAAATCCTGTAAGTTCAGGGCATACTAAAGATGAGATGATACTCAGCAGGATGAGTTGATACTCAACTTCAACAGGAAAGAAGAAACCCTAAAAATAAACAAGTTTGGCTACCAGTCCTGAAAAACACCAAAATGAATCAAAATTCGCATGCAAATGAACTTTACCCAGGGTCAAGGGGTTTCCCTGCAGACATTGGATCACTAATCAAATAGACACTAATCCTTCTCACATATCCTCCTACCCTGAGGCCTTGCCATTCAACAACAGAACAGTACACAGATTAACATGCAAATCACATTCTCTCAACCAAGGGTCACACAGTATATATACCCACACACCTCCATGCCACCATTCTCTGACGTTGCCAGCCACAGATGCAGGCGAAACACCAGGAAGAAATTCTTCTAGAACACAGTTTCACAGCCTGAAAGACCTACAAAAGCCTATGAGCTGATACTATTTTGATATCAACATTGAGTAAGGATATCATCAGAGAGTAAGGACATAAGGTAATTAACTGAGCAAGTATAGCCCTTACCAGGTTTAGGTATCAGGGTAATAGGGGCATCATTTAATTATGAAGAGAGGGAGCTGGATTCTAAGATGTTTCTAAAGTTTAAGCTGTCTTGGTACTAACAAACTGGAATAGCATTGTACCACTCAGGCATGCCCTCAGTAGATAGGGCCACCCAAACTGCTAGCGAGGTCTCTGACATGCTTTCTCTGGCCATATTCACTTGCTCATATGTGCACACACCCCTCTCTCTCACACACACACTCACATTCAGTTGTCTTATCAATGTGACAAGCCTCCTAGGGCCATCATTACAAAGTGCCATGATTGCTTTGAATCAATAACATCTGACTGAGCCACTACCTCAAGGAGTACTCAGTGAGGTAATGACTGAGTCAGACTCTGTTGGCCTGGGAAAGGTGAGAGATACGCAGATTCTCCAGGAGCTGCTACCTCAATATGTTTGGGTCACTGTGAAATAGTAGTGCACGTAAAAACTGTTCCACTGGTCTTTCCTTTCCCAACAAGGGTGTCATGCAGATTGGGCAAATTCTGGGACAGCAGCAACTGCATGGTCCTTGTCCTGATCCCAATCCAGGACAACGGTGTGGTCCCAAATGGGATGACGGCAAAGAATGGATTTTTTTCTGCTCCTTTTCCGTCTGGCTTTTCCCAGTTGGGCATGCTCTCCATGTGGCTTCTGACTGCTCTGGGGGTATGCATTGTTTAAACGTCATGCCCCCAATGTGGCTGGAAGCCTCATGTTCCTGCCCATCTGTTTTGGGCCAAGGAAAAGTAACAGAGGTATGTTGCCTTTTCAAAAGAGGGAAAGGAAGGGTGGTTTAGGAAAGCTTAGGCTGTAGATTCCCACTTCTTTGTTATTGGAAATACACCAGTGGATACAAGTCAGTGACTTAATGATTTCCATAGTGAGGTACCAAAGGGGTGCCAGGGGAGAAAATCTGTATGACCCATTTATAGCAAAAGTGAAAGCAATGCAATTCTTCCAATATAAAGTGCAAAAAAACTTGCCTTAGAGAACCTTCTTAGTGGCTGCTATCAGCATGCCAGAATGAATCTAGTTGAATGTAATCAGCTAAGGATTTGATAGGTTGGAGTTGAAAACATCTCCTTTATCACTTTTAATATAAGTCTGCTTGATCTAGAAGTCAGTGAGTGACTGCAGGCACTGAGCTCCACAAGACCATTTTCAAGAGCAAAATTACATTGTAAAAGGAAGGTTAAAAATATTGTTAATTCTCCTCTTTAGTGGTACAGTGTTAGGGTCAGGTAAAAAAAAATGAAACAAGACAGCCTTTCAGACCCATTTTTTCAAAGCCTGCCTGCTTACATTTCATATGCTATTTTAAAGCAAAAATGATAAACCTGACAAAGCAGGTGTGAAGTTTTCTATATTATGAACAAAATTCTTGGACATGTTCTAAAAATGTAAAGACTTGGTAATTCAAGGTTAAATAATATGGTAGGCCAATGGTTCCCAAAGTGGGTGGTATGCCTCCCCTGGGGATGGTAGAAGGATCCAGGTGGGCAGTAGGGAGCTGTGGGGGAGAAAAGGGGTGGTGGTGGGCTTTCAGTCAGAGTATTGGCATCAAGAGAGCCAGCATGGCATAGTGATTGAAGTGTTGGACTACGAATCTGGAGACTAGGGTTTGATTCTCTGATGAGCCATGAAGCCCACTGGGTAACCTTGGGTGAGTAACATGCTCTCAGCCTCAGGGGAAGTCAATGGCAAACCTCTTCGGGACAAATCTTTCCAAGAAAACCTCCCATGAACAAATCTTGCCAAGGAAACCCTGTGGTAAAGTTGACAAGTCATGACTGAACGTAGGGGGCAGTGCTCATCTCCATTACTCAGCTGAAGACCAGCGTTGTCAGAGACTACTCTGTGATCATGTGGCCAGCATGATTGCACAGAATGCTGTTTACCTTCCCACTGAAGTGGTACCTATTTATCTACTTGCATTTGCATGCTTTCAAACTGCTAGGTTGGCAGAAGCTGGGACTAGTGACGGGAGCTCACCCCATCATGCAGCACCTGGGCCTCGAACTGCCAATCTGCTGATCTTCCAATCAACAGAGTTAGCGTCTTAACCACTTGAGCCAGTTCATCACTGCATCACTGTACTTCTTAGGGTCGTCATAAGTCAGAAAGACTTGAAGGCACACAACAATAACATTAGGCATCCAAAGAAAGGGAGAAGGCAAAGTTACCAAAGGAATACAACCACAGGAAACACAAGAGTAATAGCTGTGGATGTTTTTCAGTGTTTCAGTCTCCACAATGGTAGAAATATGTGGACTGAAGGAAAATTACACTGGGGAAGCAGAATTCTTACTGGGAGGGGTCAGTGCTTTCATTCCCCTCACCCTGCAGCTACACTGCAGGTCCTGTTGTTCCCCCTCAAGGACTTGTAGATGTGTGTGCCTCTGATTAGAAATTGACAGTGTTTGTGCAGAAGTCAGTTGTACACACAGGAGCTGAATAAGCTGCCTGTATTAAGAGAGTCTAGGTCAGGTTGCCCATTTGCTAGCTATCCCTCAGCAACACTCTGTTGCCTTGGAGCATCTGTAAGATAATTTGTTTCCCAAGGCTTCAGCCTTTAGTAAGGAAACAAAAATATTGTAATATCAACAGTGTCAAAGCCAAGCTGTTAGCGTCTAGCTTTAGTGGAGTAGCAGAAATGTGCCTTTGTTTATTTGCTTCTCTAAGAACTGAGACTGACTCAAAAACAACAAACACATGGTTGTAGTTTAAAACAAAAAATTACTAATGGCTTTAAACTTTATTTACATAAAAGGCTATATCTGTATTGGCAAACCCATTGCACGCGTGCCCACTCTGCTACATGAAGCCATCTGAGCGGGCACACGGCCACGGAGGCCCAGGACCGGGAGCTGGAGGGCAGGAAGGCCTGTGCGGCCAGCCCAGCTCTTGCTGCAGCCAGGAGGGTTGTTTTAGGTTGCATTGAGAAGCCCCATCCTTTTCTCCCAGAAGCCCCTCCTTTTTGCAGGGAAACCCGCTCCCTGGCCAAACATCCCTTCAGCTCCCAGGGCAAGAGCTTTCCCCAAATCCCAGGGGCAGGGTTTCTCCCGGTGCCTGTCAGGTAAGCGGTGCCTTGAGGTTGTGTGCCTTCAAGCCCTTTCTGCTTTAGAGGGACACTGTCCTGGGGTTTTCTTGGCAAGGGTTCTTCAGAGGAGCTTTTGCCATTGCTTTTTCCTTGAGGCGGAGAGAATGTGATCTACCCAGGGGTATGTCTGTTATGTGCCTTCAAGCCCTTTCTGACTTAAGGGGACACTATCCTGGGGTTTCTTTGGCAAGGTTTCTTCAGAGGAGCTTTTGCCATTGCCTTTTCCCCTGAAGCTAAGAGAATGTGATTTGTCCAAGGTTACCTGGTGGATTTCTGTTGCTTCATGGGGAATTGAACCCTGATCTCCTAGAGGACTAGTCCATCACTCAAACTGCTATACCACACTGGTGTCCCAAACACAGCAAACCTGTTACAGGATTTTCTTAGCAAGTTTTGTTCAGAGGGCTTTGCCATTGACATCCACTGAGGCTGAGAGAGTTTGACTTGCCTAAAGTCACCCAGTTGGTGTCTTGTCTGAACAGGGAGTCGAACCCTGGTCTCCTGAGCCATAATCCCACATTCAAACCACTACACCATGCTGGCTCTTGTTGGCCATATAGCAAAGTACAGTAACATCCAAAATCTGGGGCTCACCGTCTGTGTGACCTTGAGTCTGTGTATGGCGAGCCCACATATGGTGTGGGCGCGCTGTAATCCAGTTTGGCACCACTTTAACTGCTAGGGCTGAATGCTATGGGATCCTGGCGTTGGTGAGATATTTAGCCAGTGAGCTCTGGTGCCACAATAAAGTACAATTCCCAGGATTCCCTAGCACTGAGCTAGGGCAGTTAAAGTGGTCTCATACTGGATTATTTCTGCAGTGTGTCTTGGACTTCTGACTTTAGCTGCGGTCCCACCCCCTGGAAGTCCCACCCCAGAAGTCCTGCCCTCCAGAAGTCCCACCCCCAGCACTGGGGTATATCCAAATCTAGGTAGCGAATAGTTTAGGTAAAAAGAAATCTTTATCTCACCATCTTTCCAAAGAAAGTTGAGAGAGGAGGAAGATGGAAAACATGTTCAGTTGAAAATCTTGAGGGAGAAAAATTTGTTAATCCCAAGGGGCAGTGACCTAAATCACATGGTTAGTTTGAATGAGGAGGGAGTTTACATGCAGGAAATCCCTATCTACTTAAGGAGGGAGAAAATGCAAAAATCTTCCAACAGCATCCTCAATCTGCATTGTTGTTTTTTCATACTACTCTTGAGTTTTTAAAATAACCTTTTAAACATTATTTATTCAAACCTGGAGAATTGCATAAGCATGCTGATGCTTCCCTCCATGTGTAGATAATGTGCTTTTGATACATAAGCACTTACATTTATCTCTGAGTACTGGAAATGGAGGAAATAATGTCATGTCCTTTGTAAATCATTTCTGTGAGGTTTTTATTCATTTGTTTGAATTAAGAAGAATACGTTAGCCATTCCTCAGTTTCTTTAGACTCATTTAATGTTAAATAAATATGCAGCTAAAATTTCTTTAACTCTAGATCACTTCTTTTTAAAAGGTGAAAGGCCATCATCATAACCAGAATGACCATTTCCAGAGTGATGGAACTGGTAAGTGTCAAGCAATGTATTGTTGATGCAAATCAATTCTGAAGATTGGTTTCAGATTGCTTATTTTCTCAGAGAAAATGAATGACTTTTCAGAATGAAAGAGCAGGTATTGCCATCCAGTCAGCTCAGCTGACTTGCCTGTCTAGGCTATAAAACCAGGAGTCTAGCAGTGGCAGGCCTACTGCTGATAAGGGAGTCACTTGGTGGGGGG